AGCAAGACTAAAGCAGGACTAAAGCAAGACTGAAGCAGGACTCAAGCAGGACTAAAGCAAGACTAAAGAAGGTCTAAAGCAGGACTAAAGCGGGACTAAAGCAGGACTAAAGCAGGACTAAAGCAAGACTAAAGCAAGACTGAAGCAGGACTCAAGCAGGACTAAAGCAAGACTAAAGAAGGTCTAAAGCAGGACTAAAGCGGGACTAAAGCAGGACTAAAGCGGGACTAAAGCAGGACTAAAGCAAGACTAAAGCAGGACTAAAGCAAGACTGAAGCAGGACTAAAACAGGACTCAAGCAGGACTAAAGCAGGACTAAAGCGGGACTAAAGCAGGACTCAAGCAGGACTAAAGCAAGACTAAAGAAGGTCTAAAGCAGGACTAAAGCAGGTCTAAAGCGGGACTAAAGCAGGACTCAAGCAGGACTAAAGCAGGACTAAAGAAGGTCTAAAGCAGGACTAAAGCGGGACTAAAGCAGGACTAAAGCAAGACTAAAGCAAGACTAAAGCAGGACTAAAGCAGGTCTAAAGCAAGGCAAGGCAAGGCAAGTTTATTTATATAGCACAATTCATACACAAGGCAACTCAAAGTGCTGAACAAGATAGCATTAAAATCATAAATAATCACAGAACATTAAAACGAAAGATAAAAATATAAAATCCCTCAGTTGTAGCACAGCTAAACAGCACCGTTTTTAACCTGGTTTTAAACATTGTCAGAGAGGAGGCCTGTCTCACATCTTCAGGAAGATTGTTCCAGATTTTAGCAGCATGAATCTGAAAAGCAGCCTCCCCATGTTTAGTTCTGACTCTGGGCACTAACAGGAGTCCAGTCCTTGTGCTCCTCAGAGTCCGGGCTGGTTCATATGGGACTAACATGTCACTAATATATTTTGGTGCGAGGCCATGGAGAGACTTGTAACAAGCAGAGCTGTTTTAAAGTCTATTCTCTGAGCCACAGGAAGCCAGTGCAGAGACCTGAGAACTGGACTAATGTGGTCGTACTTCCTGGTTCTAGTCAGGACTAATGTGGTCGTACTTCCTGGTTCTAGTCAGGACTAATGTGGTCGTACTTCCTGGTTCTAGTCAGGACTAATATGGACGTACTTCCTGGTTCTAGTCAGGACTAATGTGGTCGTACTTCCTGGTTCTTGTCAGGACTAATATGGTCGTACTTCCTGGTTCTAGTCAGGACTAATGTGGTCGTACTTCCTGGTTCTAGTCAGGACTAATATGGTCGTACTTCCTGGTTCTAGTCAGGACTAATGTGGTCGTACTTCCTGGTTCTAGTCAGGACTCGAGCTGCTGCATTTTGAATGTACTGCAGCTGTTTTACAGCCTGTTTGGACAGACCTGTGAGCAGGCCATTGCAGTAGTCTAACCTACTGGAGACAAATGCATGGATAAGAATCTCCAAGTCTGCTTTAGACACTATGTTTTTGATCCTGGCAATGTTTTTTAGATGGTAAAAAGCTGCTGATGTTACTGATTTGATGTGGCTATTAAAATTTAAGTCTGAGTCCAGTATTACCCCTAGATTTCTGACCTTGTTTGAAGGTTTTAGGGAGAGAGACTGTAGATGACAGATGACGCTCTCTCTTTGTTTCTGGGGACCAAAGACAATCATTTCAGTTTTGTCTGCGTTTAGCTGAAGGAAGTTGTTTTGCATCCACTCACTGATCTGTTGGATACAGTGAAGGAGTGAGTCCACTGGTCCATGTTCTCCTGCAGTCAGAGAACGCTAACATTTATTTTTATGAATTCATTTATAGCTGTATTTATGTATTTTACGTGAATATAAATGCATTGAATTAAATATATATAAATAAATGTATATTTTGAAGCCTGGTCTTCCTCTCTGCTCTGTGGCCTGTCACGTGTCTCCCTGTGTGTAGTTAAACCCTGTGCTCCTCTCTCCTCGCTGTTTTTGTGATTTGATTTTGGATTTCTGTTTGGAATTCTGGATTTTTGTTGTTGTTGTTGTTGTTGTACTTTTGCAGTCCTACATTTGAGTTCCCCTTGTTCTTCATTAATGAAAGACAGGCTGCACCTAAACAAGACTTTATATTGGCAGACTGTCCCACGCTCACATAACAAAACACATGATTGCTTCATTTTAGATCAACATCAAAAGACAGTGTGTTGAAATCACTGTTTGGCTTTTCAGAAATATGTACTGTGTATGTAGTGTTTTAGTATTAATAATCTTTATATACTCTATGGTCTATATCTATGGTCTCACTCTGACCTCTCTGCTCTCTCTCTCTCTCTAGTCTCTCTCTCTTTGGCCTCTCTCTGGTCTCTCCCCCTCTCCCTCTCTTGCTCTCTCTCTCTCTCTCTCTGTCTCTCTCTCTGCTCTCTCTCTCTCTCTCTCTGGCCTCTCTCTGGTCTCTCTCTCTCTTTAGCTTCTCTTTGGTCTCTCTCTCTGCTCTCTCTCTCTCTCTCTCTCTCTCTCTCTGGTCTCTCTCTCTTTAGCTTCTCTCTGGTCTCTCTCTCTCTGC